GAATGTTGACATCATAGCGGCCATTCCACGGTGAACAGAGTTACATTTGACAGTCGCCATTATCGCTTGGTGAATCCAGTTTGTCGTTGTTGTTGTGATATAATCTTAACTCCACTTTTTCAACATGTGGTCTAACAGTCAGTCCGTGCCACGATCTCCAGAACATCGAGATGTGAGCTCTCCTAAGCGTCAGATGAAAGTTTCAGTGAAAAGTGTCAGCTACTTTTTACCTGTGTCTGATCTGAACGCCAATGCTGACCGTCCCTCGTCTGTTCTGTCCCATTCCTGGAGCAGTTTAGTGAGGATGGACACAAGTACGCCTCTCCATCAGCATGAGGTTGTATGCTCAAACCTGACTGTTCTGAAGCTGCGCCATGTTCCTGTGAAACCTGCTGAGAAGCAGAAGTTCACTGATGGTCATGGACTGCCAAAGCGTCGAGGAGTGAGGTCTTTTAAGCATATGATGGAGGTTTCACTGGAAGACATCAGCTATCTTTCATGTGAGCCTGACCTGAATGCCAGCGTTGACCATTCCTCATCTCCTCTGCTCCATTCTGAGAGTCGAGAAGTGAGAATGGATAAACGTACACCTGTCCGTCCTCGTCCTGCTGCTCCACGCTCCAAACTGCCCATTCTGAAATCAAAGTGTGTTCCTGTGAAGCCTGTCAACCAGCAGAGTTTCACAGATGAACCCTCAGAATGGCTGGGCGTGGACTCCAATCATATGAAGAAAGGTAGGCCTCCAGTGAAAAACATCAACCCTTCATGTGAGTCTGACTTTAATGTCATTGTTGCCCCCTGCTCATTTTTTGTGTCTCTCTCAGGGAGCCAATCAGGGATACTGGATAAACGTAGGCCTCTCCGCCATCATCCTGATGCTCCACGCTCCAAACTACCCATTCTGAAGTCAAAGTGTGTTCCTGTGAAGCCTGTCAACCAGCAGAGTTTCACAGATGAACCTTCAGAATGGCTGGGCGTGGACTCCAATCATGATATGATGAAAGGTACAGTGGAAAACATCAACCCTTCATGCGAGTCTGACCTCAGTGTTGCCCCTTGCTCATTTTTTGTGCCTCTTTCAGGGAGCCAATCAGTGAGACTGGACAAGCGTAGGCCTCTCCGACATCATCCTGCTGCTCCACGATCAAAACTGCCCATTCTAAAGACAAAGTGTGTTCCTGTGAAGCCTGTCAACCAGCAGAGTTTCACAGATGAACCCGCAGAATGGCTGGGCGTGGACTCCAATCATATGATGAAAGGTACAGTGGAAAACATCAACCCTTCATGTGAGTCTGACCTCAGTGTTGCCCCTTGCTCATTTTTTGTTGGCCTTTCAGGGAGGCAACCTGTGAGGATGGACAAGCGTACATCTCTGCGCAAACATCCTGTTGCTGGACGCTCAAAACTGCCTGTTCTGGAGTCAAAGTGTGTTCCTGTGAAGCCTTTTAGTGGACAAAAATTCACTAATGGACCTCCAGAGCATCAGATGAAAGTTTCTCTGAAAGATCCTCCATGTGAGTCTGAGCTGAATGTCAGTGTTGAGTGTTCCTCATCTCTTCTGGCAGTGAGAGTAGGCAAATCCCAGCATCCTGCTGCTGTTTCAACACAAATGCCTATTTTGAGGCGACGCTGTGCTTCTGTTAAGCTTTTGGCTGGACAAGAGTTCATTGACGAAGCTCCAGAACGTCAAGCATCCAGGTTTCCTCCTTTAGTAAATAAGGGAGAGAGGAACGGCGCCGACCCTTCATGTGGGTCTGATTGTAAAGTTAAGTCTCACCTGTCCTTACCCAGCCTGCCACGTCTTACAAGTGGAGTGAAGATGGACGAACATGTGCCTCTGCCTGTTCCTGTGTTTGCAAATTTGCCTGTTCTGAAACCAGCTCATGTTGCTATGCGACCTGCTCTTCCTTCAAACTTCATGTTTTTCCCACTTGATAATGATGTCAAGATGAAGAGGACTCGCTCAATAACAAGAAGCCCTCCTCTGCTTTCAAGATTCCACTCTGCAACCTATTTTTAGGACTATTCTTGTTTTTGTGTGTCATTAAATGTTGTCAAACTTTAAAATTATTCTCTCTGTGTTGTTCTTTTTTAATGATTATTTGTGTATTAATCAGTTATTTGAGCATTGTGGGTCAGAAAGATTTTCAACTTGCTTTAAAAAGTTCCATCACCTTGCATAGATTAATTAATTATTCCAAAAAACATTTTAATTTATAATGATAATGTTTGACAAATTATGAAATGAGCTTTACATTTTCTTTTTTCATTATTTAAAAGCCATTGATTTGAAAATTAGTGTATTCACATGTATTATACACAAATATAAAGTTCTAACCACTTGCAATATGTCAGCCTGTTAAACAGACAGTCGATCAAAATAAATCTAAATATCAAATAAATTAAATTAAACTCCCTTTATTTGTCCAAAGGTAGCAAAATACATCTATTTATGTGTAAGTTTAGCATAGTGAGCAGTTAATATGGTCTCTTTTTATCTCTGGGTTTCTAAAACAGCTTGGGATTCGAAGTGACTCACAACAGACATGAAGATTTCCCATTTTTAAATAAACCCTTGGTAATAGATTAATTATCATGTTCGGGTGGTTCAAATGGCCCACCCCTCACTGACAACGGTCCAAAATATGTCCCAAACATGAGTTCATTTGTCCTATTTTGACTGTTATGCCATGATAATAAGTAAAAAATAAGACTGAGCGTAATTCTCAATAGTTTTGTCCAATGCAAATAATTATTTTTCACGAGTCTAACATCCAGCTGTTTGAAAATGCACAATTTGACATAAGAGAAGTCATCTTTTGCTGCTGTATTGTTTTTAAATAGAGAAAACAGTTTACGTGTTTTATTCTAAATCTTGGGTCTTACTCTTGAAACAAACACAAAAAAAGAGCAATAAAAAGGTAAGCAACAAAAGTGGCCCTTATTAAAATGAATTTAAATACTAATTTGGTGATTGTTGTTATTCATGAATTTTCAAATGCACTTTTTTACAAGAGAGGCTAGATAACTTGTAAATCTCTACATTATTATTGTTATTTTTATACAAATGGTCAAATTCTGACTGAGGAAAGTTGAATGTGCAGGCCAGTTTGTTATTTATAATTTGCCTAAATGACAATAGGCTGGTTTTTAGTTTGAAACTGATTCATATATATGTTTTCTAATGATAAATGATGTAATTTATGTCTGATTGTGTTTTTTCATATTTATTTATTGTAAATCTTTTGTAAATATTTTTGGTAAATCAAAAGGTGTGGTTATGATAACCATCCGAAAAGCTAATTCAGCTAAAAATAGTGCTTAAAATGTGTTGAAATCTCATAGTTAAATAGAAAATGAGGCGTATTATTGCAAAAACAAAGGTCCTTTTTTTTTTTTTTTAGAAATAAGGAATCACCCCTTTCACTGGGGTGGCTACAGGCCTGCCATTGGTGGTAGACGGAGATATGACTGAGGCCTCTCTCGCACACTCTCTGTGTTGTGCGCGTTCCCTCTCGCTGCTTTTCCTTGACTTTTGTTAGTGACGGTACGGCACTGCGTGCAGTTTCCCGCATTCATCAAAATTTCAGCCCCAAATTGACACAGGTAATAAAAAAAACACAACTTCAGTGACAGTCATGTTCATGTTGTAAAACACTATCAAAATGTCCACCACTGTTGAATATATTAGTCTTCTATTTTCAATAGCGATTTTAAAACTTTTAATATAGGAAGTCGTCGGCTATGCAGCGGCTTTTATAAATCAGAAATTGAGTGTACATAGCTTTACATTAAGAAATGCAGTCTTGAATTTACATGCATTAAATGCATTAAACAAAAAACTTTGAATAATTGTTTAAGTAGTTTGTGATGTTAAAGTGTGCCCCCAAAAACACTAGTGGCTCCTCCTACTTTTTAAAAAAGAACATTGAATAAACTAAAAAAAATGAAACACAACGTCACATCATTTGTTTTAGAAAGAAAATAAGCAGTGTCTCTACGAAAGCATCTGTCAGGTCTTTGACTTGGACTTTGCTCCAGCGCCCCTACACCTAGATGCTCATGACAAGAATAGCATGTGCATTTATCTTTGAGGTGTAAATCGCAGTCGTGCATGAATGAATGATATTTTTACTTTTTTACAAATAATAATCCATGATCACATTACACAATACTGAAACTGCACGTCAAAATAGCACATTGTCAGTATTTTTGAGACCCCATAACATTTCACAAATCATGTTTTCAGGAGAGCCCATGCCTTTTTTAGAGGAGCCGAGCTCCCTCTAGCTCCCCCGTAGTTCCCACCCTGCTTTCAAGATGAAAATGTAGTCTACTGTATTAAAATGAACATCGGTTATGGACATCTGTTTATTTATTACAGAAAAGTAAAAAGTAATATATATATATATATTTATACAACAGTTCTGTCTGGTTTTCGAGTCTGATTGGCTGATAGCCATGATATATTTAAGTAATATCAGCACCAGTACAGCCTCTTTACTCTGTGTATTACTCTGCCCACATACAGCCAGCAAAAAGCAGACACTACAGATCTAAAGTTGAAAAGATGCTTGCTCAACTGTATAACTGTCAGCTTATGATTTGAATCCGACGCAGAAGAAAGTAGTTCCTCATACAAAAGGGTTTTTGAGACTCTCCATGTTTGATTTTGTTTTTATATACTCAATTATGCTGTCAAACTGTTGTATAAACGCAATATCACACTCGTAGCAGTGCGATATGGGTGTATATCGGCACTGGTGGGGGCACTAAGGCACTCAGCCTGCAGCCTCGTGCCAACGCACACCTCCTACCAGTGCCGATATACAGCCATATCGCACTGCTACGAGTGTGATATTGCTCATATATATATTTAATAAAAAATTTAATGTTTATTTTACTCGAAGATGAGTCAAAAAGGACATTTTTGTTTAAGAAAAAACACCTCAATTTTAAACAATACAAAACACAAATAGTTCAAATTAATTACACCATAATTCTTAGTACACACCATATACTGCCAAAACAAACATTTAATTGTTTCTTGAACTTGTAGTTGTCAGACAAAAAATATACATATACAGCTAAAAAAACAACAAAGTGATGTAAAATCAATGATTCATACACAAATACTGGAATTATATTAATAAATATGTGAATACTGAAAATATAAAACTTTTAAAAGAGTAACACCTACACACGATACATGAATTTATACATTTTCAAACAAAAGTGGGCTAAAATAAAGCACTCTGGGTGATTTCTTCCAATGATCATAACAATCCCATTAGTTATAGTTGTGGCAATGGAGTGGCAGAAGGACTTGGATCACAGTTCAATGCAGATGCTGGTGGACGTGAATCATAGCTTGGTAGAGGTTCAGAAAGATGTAGATCATAATTAAACGAAGGTGAAGACAAGACTGCATCATTATTTGGGATGTAGTTTGCCAGAGAAGGATATAGATCATATTTTGGCAGAGGTGCAGAAAGTTTTGGATTGTAGTTTGATTGAAGTGCAGAACTGCCTTGATCACTGTATGGTGGAGGTATAAAGGGGTTTTGTTGTCCCTGAGGCTCAGTATTGTTATCAGTCATGTAAGGCACATCTCTTTTTATGTAACTCACTGCAGCTCGCCCAGACTGAGAAACAAAAAACACAACAAAAACAGGATTTTGCACTGTAAAAAAGATCTGTTAATGAACAGTTTTCATATTTTGTGAATCACAAGTGTTTTCTGCTTATTTGTGAATTGCCCTGTGAGAGGTTGATCTCTGCTCTGTCCACTTTTAATGGTACAGATAAACTCTACAGTTTAACAAAATGATTTTTATTGATATCCCTGCTAAAAAATCCAGCTTAAACCAGCCTAGGCTGGTTGGCTGGTTTTAGCTGGTCGACCAGGCTGGTTTTCGAGGGGTTTTGGCCATTTCCAGGCTTGTTTCCAGTCATTTCCAGCCTGGTCTTAGCTGGTCAGGCTGGAAAATGACCAGCTAAATCCAACTAAACCAGCTTGACCAGTCTGGTTTAAGCTGGACATAGCTGGTTTTGGCTGGGCTCCCAGCCTGGCTAGGCTGGTCAAGCTGGTTTTTGCTGGTCATCTCCCAGCCTGACCAGCCAAGACCAGGCTGGAAATGGCTGGAAACCAGCCTGGAAATGGCCAACACCCCTCTAAAACCAGCCTGGTCGACCAGCTAAAACCAGCCAACCAGCCTAGGCTGGTTTAAGCTGTTTTTTTCAGTAGGGATGTTTGTAGTTTGAAATAATGTAATATTAAATAATAATATATAGAGAAATAAGTCTGTAAAATAACAGAAGACATACTGGCAGTTTAAAACAAGGTTTTTGTTGCATAATATACAACACCAACAGACATTAGGGTATATGCGGAAGTATGCTAAAGGACTTTTAATTTGCCTGTAACCTGGGTTAAGCGCTTCCAGTGAACTGTATGCCGTTGCAAAATCGGCATGTTTAAGGTCTGTTTTCTTGAAAAATCTGTGATCTCCTATGGCTGAGTGATATCTGATATAAAGTAGGTCTCAGATTGTACGAGAAGCACTGCATTAAATTACATTTTTCCCCATCATCCCCATCCTTTAAAATATGAACATTTATTTTACCCCAGTATATTCAATGGAGCTTCTGCGCTAGCCTGCTGATTCTGATGGGCGCATGCGAGTAAAAGTCTATTTAACTAATTGTACTTTAATAATATTACAACATCGATGCTGTTAAAGGAACCGTATAGAACGGGAAAAAATCACATTAACCTAGGTCCACGGGAAGTTTATCAGTATAGGAAGAAACACTAGCTCCGCAAATCCCCTATATATCACTTGAAACTATTAAAAATGTTCATAAAAGTTACTTTTTACAACTTTTCATGGTTAAAAGTTGTCGGAACAAAGATCAAGGTCCCATAATGCAATTCAAAAGCATATATAAATGAGGAAAAATAAAAATATGATTCACAAAATACGGGAAACTGCTAATTTACTGATATTATTAGTGTGTGTTACATTCATTATTGGAAGATTGGTAGTGGGTTTAGAATTAATAAAACATTGAAGGATTTGCACATCCAAAATTTAAAATTAGCCCATGATTTACTCAAATTGAAGGCATCCTATACGGCTGTGTGAATAACCGATTTTGTCAGTAAAGCCAGTTCTAGTAGACCTTGCTTTAGCACATGCTTTTTTAGATTGGGTTGAAGTTCACTCTAAAGCTAACCAAAAAGTCAAAATCGATATAATCAGGTAATTGCGATAACTGTTCTGTGATAATGACAGCTGTTTGCGAAGCTTCCTAATGTGCTGTGTAGTAAACGCTGCACATAATAAATACCACATATATTACAAAGTCCAAGTTCACTTCGTAAAGAGTGTTTGAAAGAAATCCTTGTAGTCGTGTTATTATTGTACTGTAGTCAAAGGGTCACGCATAAACAATGAAAGCAGTTAAATCTTCTGTTTATAATGCAACACTATGGGGATTTCCTGGTTTTGTCTTCATGGGTGTTTGGAGTTTCTACAAGAGAGCGCCCTCTGTCTTTGGGGCAGAGTGTTTTTTCTTTATCAATCAAAAATAAGTCCAATAATGTAAGTCCATTCATAATAAAAAAAATCCAATGACTCAGGGGATAAATAAATGTCTCCTGAAGCAAATTTGTGAATTTTGTAAGAAAAATACTGCCCGAGGTGCAATTTTTTGATGCATTTATCGTCATGAGAGGCACATTTTATTATAGATGGATAAATGGATTATTGGAATAATATTGGACTGTTAAAGAAAAACACCTTTGCCATTGTAGAGCTGAAAAATCCCAAGATAATAAAAATAAAACTGTTTAATAAATAATAATATATATATATATATATATATATATATAAAATATAAAACAAAAAATAGAGAACTAAAATAATAAACGTTTAGATGGTATTCGACTGAAATAAGAAAGTCATATACACTAATATTATGCCTTGAGGGTGAGTAAATCATGGTTTAATTTCCATCCTTTGTGTGAACTAACCCTTTAATTTAAAATTTGCCTTTTATTTTTTAAGTTTGTTTAGCAAAAGAAATGGTAAGTAGTTTTACCTTCTTGCAGCAGTCACAAAATGTAGAGGCCACAATAACAGAGAGGATGAAGATCAGAACATCACAGACTAGCAAGAGAATTAGAGTCTTACCCTGAGGAAGAATAGAGGCAGAATCATCATAAACAAAAACGAAATCTAAAGTTTATTTAGCACTTTTCACACACAATGTTAATTCAAAGTGCTTTACAGAAACAAGAATTTACAAAAACAAGTATAAATATATAAATATTGGTAATAATATAAGTATTAGTATATGAGAATTAGTATTTAATTTGTCTTGATGAAATCGTTAAAAGTAGCATGATTGATGTAAGGGTGAAAGGGCCTTTTAAACAATAATTGATACAGCTTGTATGTAGCATGCATTACAAAATGTCTTATTTCTATTCTTTTCTCTTTTTTTTGCAAAAGCTAAATGTTAAACAAAACAATTATTTGACCTTGATGGTTTAAAAATCTCTGATTAAAATGTCATTCAGCGTAATAGTATTGTATATACCAAAACAAATGTAACAAAATGTTTAACAGAAACCAAACCAATTTGTCAGGTAAATGTAGAACAAGTATCAAGCCCAAACTATATTAAAGTCTCTATTCAGACCAGAGATGCCAAAAGTAGGGCTGCGGGCCAAAGTTGGCTCATGATTACCTTTGATTTGGCCCACCATCCCATTTGTAAAGAAAGAAAAAATGAAGGAGATGGTCGGGGGTGGGGTGATTGCCTTTAGTAGAGATTGTCTTTTCTAATTTAACACAACCTTTTGCTTGTTTGTTTTATTGTTGAGCTACAAAAAGCAAGCTTGAATTAAATCTTTTAATTCAATGTTGCGAAGGGATCATATTCCTGTAAATGTGTATTGAACTTCATTGTGTTATGAAAAGAAATCGTTTGTTTTAATTGTAATAATTTCATTATAAAATCTGAAAAATTATAATGCTATAGTTAACCTAATATGATTAAAGTAACACTTTTTATTTATTTTTAAATATTATTTTAAAAATTAGGAAAATACCCCAGACGACTTTGTAATACAGTTTGCTAATTTACCTTCGTCCCACAGCCCAGTTATGTTTGGCCCTTCAGAAGAAAAACTTTGGGCACCCCGATTTAGACTCTATTAACTCAAACGCTATTAAAACTCAGAAATACCAGCCTGATCTCACCAGAAAACAAAAGTATTTTACATTTTGTCAGTTTAATTCGTACGAATTTGTACGAATTCAGTCGTATGAAAATGTACGATTTTAAAAAGGATGTGTGGTACACAACCCCACCCCTAACCCCAACTGTCATTGGTTGATGAGCAAGCCATAGTAAGTTGTGCAAATTAGATCATAGGAATTAGCCACCAAATGAAAAAGTTGCGTATGGCTGTGAGATTGTGTTGGAAATACTCATTCGTTTTTCATACTAAATCTTTGAATTTTGCCACTTTGATCATTTTAGTCATTTAGTATATGATCAAATTTAGCATGATGACTAATTATTTTTTAATACTTAAGAATGTCAATTAATACTTATAAATAATTACCATGTATAATTGTTCACACAAAGGCTTATATGTCATATGGAATCATTATTGCCCATATTTTGGTTAATATTAATATGCTTTTTTTCTGCTTTTGTGAATTTAACTTTATGCTGACACCAAGAATGGGATGCATCATTTTTACCCATAAACACTGACCAAAAAGGTTATTTAAAATATGTTTTTACATTTGCTAGGCTTAAATCAGGAAGTCTCTTACCTCACTGTCCAAACAGTGACATGGAATGGAGACAACGGCTGCTATGGCACTGAAACAGTTCAGAAGCTGTGAGATTCTGACCTGAATTGAGTAAAAACGTAATGCATTGTTGTCTAAAACATATTTTCTTTTATTAGATGATATATACAAAACTCACCTGACATGTGCTACGAATGTGTGCAGCTGAGATAGTCACAGATCCAGTTAAAATTGACTACAGTAAAAAGAAGTAAAGATTGTTCAGGGTTTGTTGTTGGCACGGTGTTGTCTTGGTGTTGGAATCAATACTTACAATTAGACACGGCCAGAGAAGATACAAAAACCTTGTCCAGATTGATAGAACAAGCATTTCTATACCTACTGATATTTCCAAAGCCTGTAAAATACAAAACAAGTAATTGTTTCCTTTTAATGTAAAATTTAGCATGTATACACTACCTGACAATGGTCTTGTCACCTATCTAAGTTTTAGGAACAACAAATAATAACTTGACTTCTAGTTGATCATTTGGTTTCAGAAGTGGCTTATATGAAAGGCAAAGGCCTCTAGATTATGCTTATTTTACCAAAATAAAATATGATCATGCTTTGATTTTTAATGATTTAATTAGGACAGTAAGGTCTAACTTTGTTTAGACAAAAGTCTTGTAATTTAACAAAAATAATGTACAGTATAGAATATAAAGTCATGGATGCTCCCATGAGCTTGGAGGACTGCATCCATGCATCTCTGCAATGACTCAAATATATTAATAAAGTCATCTGAAAGAGAGTGTTCTTGCAGGAATCCCAGAGTTCATCAAGATTCTTTGGATTCATCTTCAATGCCTCCTCCTTCATCTTACCCCAGACATGCTCAATAATGTTCATTTCTGGTGACTGGGCTGGCCAATCCTGAAGCACCTTGACCTTCTTTGCTTTCAGGAAATTTGATGTGGAGGCTGAAGTATGAGAAGAAGCGCTATCCTGCTGAAGAATATATCAATATGTTGCAATAGGTCTTCTGCAGTATTTGTGATGATTGGGATGCAGTTTAACAGATGATTCATCAGAAAAATCTACATTCTGTCACTTTTCCAAATGATCAACTCGAAATCAATTTATTGTTTGTTGCTTTTGTCAGGCAGTGTACACTCAGGAAAAAAAGAGCTGTCAGTGTGGAGATATCCTAAGGCGAGGGTTTTTATATTTTTTACATATATATTAGTGGTTAAATTTGTTACATTGTATATGTTATTTTGTATTCATATTTAAATCTTTGTTTTGTATTAATTCTATTTAGATTTATTACAATTAATCCATTTGGTTAATTTATTATTTATTGTTTGTCTGTTTATTTATTTATCTTAATGTAAAGCAATTTATTGTTTATTTTATTTAAATTATTATTTACTAAAAAAAGCAAGTTTAAAGTAATGTTCTGCTATGCATAATACAATAATTAGTAGTCATTCATTCATTCATTCATTTTCTTGTCGGCTTAGTCCCTTTATTAATCAGGGGTCGCCACAGCATAATGAACCGCCAACTTATCCAGCAACTTTTTACGCAGCGGATGCCCTTCCAGCCGCAACCCATCTCTGGGAAACATCCACATGCATTCACACACACACTCATACACTACGGACAATTTAGCTTACCCAATTCACCTGTACCAAATGTCTTTGGACTGTGGGGGAAACCGGAGCACCGGGAGGAAACCCACACGAACACAGAGAGAACATGCAAACTCCACATAGAAGCGCCAACTGAGCCGAGGCTCGAACAAGCGACCCAGCGACCTTCTTGCTGTGAGGCGGCAGCTCACCTACTGCACCACTGCTTCGCCCTATAATTAGTAGTACTTTGCAATAATTGCAAACATATTTGTTTAAATATGAGTAAATATTTTTACATGTGTATTATAGGTTAAATATGTTACAGTTAATAAAAATGTATATGTATAAATATTTATACTTTTGTGCTTTCTTACTGTTTTTACACCAGTGGGCCCAATTTTTTTTTTTTATCTTGCCTGGGGCCCCTAAACTCTACAGGCCGGCACTGACACCAAATCAGACAATATAAACTATTAAAAATGTACACTTTTACTTCCTTACAAACTTTTCAAGGGCAACAGTTGCTGGAAAAAAGATCAAGGTCTCATAATGTAATTAAAAAGCATAACGAGGCTGTAAAAAATAAAAACACAAATAACAAAATATGGACAACTGCAAATTTACAGATTTTTCTTTTACAGTGTAGTCACCCATAAATGTAGGCCTAAATATAAGGGTTTTAGCTTTTGTACTCTTAGGTTCCCATCCCAGTGGCAGCACAGTGCCTTTTGTCTTAAGATTGTAACAGAAAGGAATAGAGAGATAGATGTTGAACAGATTTATTTACCCCCAAAGCCTTTGGGCTGATGTTCAGGAATTTAGAAAGCACCTGTTGGTCAAATGGTGAGGTTTGTTGTTGGAGATAGCTGTTCATATCATCATGTCTGGGCATCCTTAAATGTGCTGGTAGAAATATGTTGCAATTAGTTGTTCTGAATGAATGAGTTTATTATTCCTACAAGATTTAAAAGCAATTTTCACTTTTATGTTTTTCAAAAGTAAAGAGGAAACAAGTATAACACTGCATATTCTCAGAACATGCACATACTGTACACATACACACATGCACATACACACACAAACAGTTAACAGAAGAGTTCAAAGCTGGTGCTTATCTAAACCTATTTCAAATTCAAGTGAATCTGAAAGGGAATCTATTGTCCTCTCTTTTTAAAAGCACTTGTTAGGTATGGGATTTGAACTCACGAGTTCACAAATAATCTTGAATGCTAATTATGAGTGTTGTGCCATTACATCCTGACCGCTACACACAATGTGGCAAAACCTGTTCTGACTCTTTAGAGTCCTGTGACAGGAGTCCTTAGACTCTAAACTCCTTAAGATTCAAAATACAGAATTTTTGTGAAACCCACACGTCCTGATTAACTTGAATTCACTGTGTTTTTTACATCTAGAAGCACATCTGTTCATATTTTGTAAAGGTGGAGTCCTGTGAGTCAAAAGAATCCCTAATGCAGCAAACAAACCACCTTAACTGAAAAGCTAAATTAAATTGACTTGTAAATAAAAAAAAGTAAAAAAATTACAGAAATGTAATGCCTCTGCAAGACGACAACATTTTCTGGTTGACTACAATATTTGGAATCATTTAATTTACTTGATCTCTACAACATAAGATTTGCATGAAAACAAAGAAACATAGTATATTCATGCAAAAACCATTACGTGTGCAGAGTTGGAGGATTATATATGTCATAGTTTTCACTGGTTAGTTTCTACTTTGGCAGACTGTTTCAGCTACTACCCAATCTATAAACACAGAAAGATACTCATGGTAATCTGATAACATTACGATTGTTAATAACATTATTGTTGATGTTAATATCATGTTTGCCTTGTTATATATATATATATAAAACTACTATAGCTTATCGATAAGTATTAATAAAATGAACATACATATTAAACATGAGTAATTATAACATGTATTATAATTGTTATTTACATTATTTATTCAATTATATATAATACCGAGTAAATACAAAAAAAGTACATATATTTGTATTTACTCGTTTTTATTAATGTACATAATAAATAATATTATATATATATATATATATATATATATATATATATATATATATATATATATATATATATATATATATATATATATATATATATATATATAATGATGTTGTTACATTCCTTATCTGAAGGAGAAATATGCTGCAAGTTCTGAATTAAACTTTGATTAAACAGTTTGTACTTTACAATAATAATGAAGTTTGGGTCTGTTAATCCCGCAGGTTTATGTCAGCTTTACTGTAAGTCAAAAGTATTTATAGAATCAAATGTCATTTTCTTGCAGCTGAAGATCAGGAATTACTAGAAAGGTTTCATTAGCGAAACTATGAATAGTGCAAATGTGCAAACCGTAGAGAAGACAGCTGATAGAGGTTATGTTTTATTTTCCAAATTAATCTAGATGTATATGTACAGTATATCATAGTTTGCACTCTGTCTCTAGCAAACCTGTACCAACACAGAGAGGCAGATGGTAGATGAAGAATGCTTACCTTGGGTAACAATAATTCAGTGTTACAATTAAAATCCATTTAGAAGTAGAAATAGCACCTAATCTGGAGGAACTGAATCATTACTGATGTTGACGGCGTGTTTGTCTTGGGTCATTTTCAGTTAGTGCTTCCTAGTAAGACTTCTTCCTTCTCAGAAGACTCCACCTCCACAAAATATGCAAAGAATGATCCTTAAATGACACAATCATTCAAGATGTAAACATAGAGTTGAACTCTGATTATAAATATTCTTAGCAATATTGACAAATTAAGAAAGATTTTTTCTTTGCAGGCATGCTATAATCGTAAGGCTTTAGGAGTCAAAGGAATAAATTTTAAACATAAGGACTCAAGTCTGATTCTGTAGTGATCAGTTTTTGCATTGCTTTTACACATTATGATGTAGATAACAGCACTCATTTATACTGAAATGGAAATCTCTTATTCTTGTCACTTTAAAAGCATCTTGTCAGTGGCGGGATTTAAACCCATGATTGCAGAATGCTCATCACAAATCTGGCTCCTTAACTAAAAAGCAAAATACAATTGACATTTACATTTTAAAACAGTTAAATTCTGGAATAAAGACATAAAGTCATATGACATATTTAAAGTCTGTTATAAACCAACCTACCGTCCATCTACTGCACATGTTTTCAATTCCAGTTCCCGGAGGGCCGCAGCTATGTACAGTTTAGTTACATTACACACTCACCTGTAGGTTTCAAACAAGCCTGCAGGACTCCATTAGTTTGATCAGGTGTGTTTAATTAGGGTTTGAACTAAACCGTGTAAAGCAGCGGCCCTCCAGAAACTGGAACTGACATCTGTGATGTACTGTAGCCCACATAAATGATCATTCATAACCACAAGGGGGCGTCACAGTGCAGGTATAGAAATCTTAGCTACGCACCAAATTTCTGAATTTACAGGGAAGGAAAGAAAGAAAGAAAGAAAGAAAGAAAGAAAGAAAGAAAGAAAGAAAGAAAGAAAGAAAGAAAGAAAGAAAGAAAGAAAGAAAGAAAGAAAGAAAGAAAGAAAGAAAGAAAGAAAGAAAGGAAATAGGCAAAATGTGTGCATGTGCATTATTTTGTTTAGCTCATCATTTGCCATCACAAGTTGATTAATAATATGAAGGACCTCTGTTAGGCATTAAAAAATTATGTAACATTAGAAAAATAATATTTACAAGTACAATAGATGTTAAACAAATGTATGAAATCTTTCCTAGAACACCCCCCCCTCCAAAGACATTTAAATCACAATTTATACTGTACAAAGTTAGATTGTAAATGTATATGTGTAAATATTGTTTGTAATAAATTATATTAAATAGACCACATTATGTTAATAGACTATATTACAGTACTGTACTATTAGATTTATTATTTATATACTAATTTTAACTTACTTTAAACCACAATTTTAAAATAATTTCCAATAATCTTGTTGTTATAATAATAATAATAATAATAATAATAATAATAATAATAATAATAATAATAATAATAATATTATTATTATTATTATTATTATTATTATTTTAAAAATTCACCGGGTGACATGGTGGCTCAATGGTTAGCACTGTCGCTTCACAGCAAGAAGGTCTCTGGTTGGAGTCCCAGCTGGGCCAGTTGGCATTTCTATGTGGAGTTCGCATCAGGCCTGTAGGCAGCCTGTTGAAAGGGGTGGTACTATCATTTTGTCATTTAAATATCATTCAATTAAATAACAAACGGGCCAGCACATTCAATTTTCCTCAGTCACACTGAAGCGACAGCCAAAGCCTTTTTCGCTGGTTTATTTTTATAATTTATAATGGCATAACAGTCAAAATGGGACAATTGAGCTCATATATGAGACAAATTCTTGACCTTTGCCAACATCTTTCAAACCACCCAAACCCGAATAAGTTGGTGGTTTATTCCGTTGTGACAACCTCTGATGAATAATGAACTCAGCGGAAAGAAAACAAATGAACCAATGAATTTTTATTTACTTTTGACATTATGCTGTGCACATCACGATGGCGCAGTGGGTAGCACGATCGCCTCACAGCAAGAAGGTCGCTAGTTCGAGCCCCAGCTGGGTCAGTTGCCATTGTGTGGAGTTTGTTCCATATATATAGGTATAGGTGAATTGAATAAGCTAAATTGGCTGGAGTGTATTTGTGTGGTATGGGTGTTTGCCAGTGATGGGTTGCAGCTGGAAGGTCATTCGCTGCGTAAAACATGCTGGATAAGTTGGCGGTTCATTCCGTGGTGGCGACCTGCTTTCAGGACTAAGCTGAAAATGAATGAACTATTTTGTGCTCCTGGAACTACAATATAAACTTTGCCTTTGTATGTATTAGTAAAATCTAATAGTTTTGAAAAGTTCGATGGTTTCACCTTTACACCCTCTTTTGTTTTTGTTATCTCGCAATCTGTAACACATTATGCCTAATAACCCCATGACACGAAATTCTGTTGTCTACTGTTGTACTTCATCCTCACGGCGAGGTTTCTTTCCCTAGTGGATTTTATACGCTATCCAATAGCCGGTCAACTCCCCCCTTCCTTATAAATATTCATATTCCAGAGTCGTTGCTTTAATGCTATTGGCTAACAAAATGCCGGTCGCGGCTGAGCGAACGGATGAAATCACCTGCCAATCTCACAGTGGGCGGGACTTGTCAAGCCCCGATATATGTAAAAATACCATTCACACGCTTTCAGTGGCTGTGACACGAGCGAAGGGGCATTTCGAAATATCATATTCAAATCAGTCTCCGGCGAGGGACGGAAGAAGTCCCCAGTTTGAACAAATGGAGGAAGATAGCAGCGAACAGATGAAACCTCTTCTAACCACAGTGAGTATGAAGTTATTTGTTGTTGTCTCGTCAGAGTTGAGTTTTGCGGAAGCCTTGAGCGTCTATGCGCGCGTCCGTTTCAAAGAAAGAAATGGGACGGGGATAAGGGGGAAAGGGATGGTGGACTGATATAAAGCATCACTTCCTTTGGTCTGTTAACCAACCAGGACTGTCCACATTGTAGTGGTATACTTTAATGGTGCCTGATTTGAGATGGTATCGCAGTGGAAAGGTGCTTTCATTGTTTTGGGGTGACCACGCTTCTGCCAGGAAGTGTCGTTTAGTTCATTGCGTCACAATAACGGTGAAAGACCAGCGCTTTATGTACTGGAAAGGCTGTCTATATGTCTCGTTTTCAGGATATCATTACTCAAAACACTTTATAAACATTGAAGTTATAACATTACATTTGTTTTGGGGTGTAGTTAATTTACTCACGGTTATGTTTTTGTCTTTTTGGCACGTATTGATAAAATATCTCTGTGTCTGTCTTTGTGTGTAGCTTTATATAAAACGTTATATACATTTATAAATGATTAAAAAAGCATTAAAGTAAAGATAGCAGATAAATGACAAAAAGATGCCAATAAATGTCAACTTTTTCTGACAGTTTATATACAGGACATTCTACCTGAAATACAAACACAAATACAGCGAATAAAAAGTAATTCTTCCTAAAATGGACTGATGGTTGATTTTTAAATTTGTTCTGTAAAGAAATACAGCATTCATTTAGTTCTTAGGTTTTTTATTTTATTAAAAACACTTTACAAATGTAAAAATCCTGTCATTGTTGTTGTCCTCAGCCCAATTAAACCTACAGCTTTAATAGTCTTGTAATGCTAAAACTGTTATTTAGATTAAAAACACTTTAGAAATAGCAAGTTTAAGCTTTAATCATTCACATCAGTTAATTTAAAGGATGAGATGTTAAATAAATTCCACAAATAAATACTACAAACGTATAATACAAATAAATTTAAATGCATGTTTCCCCATGTTTCTGTCAGTCCTGTCACATTTGCATTAAATTGAACAATAAAGGATACACCTTGAAGGCTATGACTCTGAAATGACATCATTTGATGGAGGAGAGGCTGACGGGGATCAAGGATGCGTTCTGTCATTGAATTGTATGATTTTTAGGCTTGTTTTTGTATGATTTGTTTTGAGAACAAGCTTGAGGGTCAGGCTCTTTCACTTTTTTTTGTAAGTGAAAATGTACGTTTCTGGTAGAATGTCCCTTGCATCTAAAATGGTGTGATTTTATGTAGCATTTCATTGTATGTTTTAAAGAAATGTCAGGAGAGAGAGAGAGAAGTTTCACTTAAATAAATGACTATAAATTGTTTATTAGGTTAATAAAAAAAAATATATATATATATTTGCGGACATGCTTATATTCATTTATTCATTTTAAATGCCAAAAAAACAGTTTTCTTTTTAAGAATCAAGATGAAAAATTATAAGATTTTTTTTGTACAAATAACAGATTAATCACAGAAAAATTAAAACATTTTTTACAACTGTCACACTGTAAAAAAATGGACCTTAAATTCACAGTAAATTATAATCCTTTGGGGTTAATATTGAGTTGGCTCAATCTATAACAGCTTCCACTATTCTAGCACAAAGTTAAGGAGTGTGTTTATGGGAATTTTGTTTACCATTCCACTTGAAGCGCATTTGTGAGGCTAGGCATTGATGTTGGATGAGAAGGCCTCGCTTACAGTCTCTGCTGTAATTCATTCCAAAACTGTTCAGTCCGGTTTAGGTCGGGACTCTGTGCAGGCCAGTTAAATTCCTCCACACCAAACATTGCTCGTCCATGTCATTATGGGCCTTGCTTTGTGCAATAGTGCACAGTCATGTTGGTACGGCAAGGGGCCATTCACAAACTGTTCCTGCAAAGTTTAGAGCATGAAATTGTCTAAAATCTTTTAATATGCTAAACCATTAAGAGTTTCTTTTCAGTAGAAGGGGCCAAGTCCAACCGCGCGACATAATCCTCCCTCCATCAAACTACACTGCAGTACAGTTCTGTTGACAACCCAAAACCCAGAGTAATTTTTCAGATTGCCTGACACAGAACAGCGTTTTCGTCATACCAGAGAATACCTTTCCAGTACTCTAAAGCCCAGTGATTAAGTGGTTTACACGATCCAATGCTTAGCTATGCACTTAGTAGTGGAGGGTTTGGATCCAGCTGCTTGGCCACGTAAACCTATTCCCCAAAGCTCTCTACACACTGTTCTTGAACTAATCTGAAGGCCACATGAAGTTTAGAGGTC